AATATGTTTCAGGCTTTGGAGATGTATGTGGTGGCCTTGTCAAAATGGATGAACATGACAAAAAGCTAGCAAAAGGATTTCCAGCATATATCATGAGGCTTCAGAATTTTCCAATGATGACCAAGAAGCTCAAAGGTCACCAAAGCCAAGGATGATGAATGAAGGTGTATGAAATATGGGAACTGCACATAAACTGCGTGTGTGGGAGGTGATGAATCCCTTATGGGATAATGGTACAATTGTCCGACAGATGGACATTTTTTCAAAATTTAAGTGTAGAAGCAAAGGGGTATGTGAATAAAGAAGGTTTGACCACGTGACAAGGATCTGAACGTACCATTTTTACTATTGGTATGGTACACACCGATATTGTTGAATTTTGGTATACTGTTTTAGATTTATAATCACAAATAAAATATTAAAGTTTAATTTAGATGTATATATTATAACAATAAAAAAATTATTTTTAAGAAAAAAACCAACTTGACTGGTAATCAAATTCTCCTATAACAAAGAAAATAATAACATTAATAATAATAACAATAATAAGTGATGTAAAATGTTTACTTTTTAGAGTGTTAAGAAACCTTTCCTATGCGTTTTATTCTTCCTCTTTTTTCTTGCTTTGTTGCTTGCTTTAAATTCTTTGCACAGTAGAAAGCAGTTGTCATTTCGAAAACCATGTCATCACTTCGGGAACCGAGAGTTGTACATATTCTATTCTTCTTACCTCCCTCCCTTCTGAATGAAGCATACAACTCCTCGTTGTGCTACGCTCCCCAAGTGTGCTTATTCCCCCATTTTTCCTTACCAAATAAGAATCTCTCCTCTCTTTCTCTCTCTCTCTCTCTCTCTCTCTCTCTCTCTCTCTGCATGTATGCATGCGCTCGCAGGGCATTAGATACTTCTCTTCCATCTTCTGATTTTAGTATATCGGACAATAATAGAAACAGAAGCCGGAATAGCTGGAAAATGAAAAAATAACAAGATAGACAGGAATAGTCCAGTATTTTGAGTGAAAGAAAAGATGGATGTGTGTACCATTTTTGTGCCGTAAGGGAACACCGCAAGGTGTACTGACTAATATAATACAAATTATTAACATTGGTTTGAACAAGGTTTGAATGGTATGTAAGTGAGGCCATGAAACGTGTTACTGAAAGAAAAGGGAGAAGCAATAACTAGGTGGAGGACAAAGAAAAAAGAGCATCTCTAGGCTCAGAAAGGTGAGGGAGTCAAAGAAGTTGGATAATAAAGTGAATGCCAACAAAGGAATGTACAGTTTATAGGCTCTAACTTTCATGTATGGCTTGCGTCCTTTATTGCATCCTCTTGGTAATAAAAGTTTATTTACCAAACAAAAAAATTTGATAAAATGTGAAAATAGGTATATAACATCACTTGACATATTTGGAATCCACCTCCATGCAATTTAGATAAAATAATCAATTTGAGAACCACATAACTCCTTCATTCTCAAAAGAGATCAAATTTCTCAACTTGGCAAACCAAAAACAAAACCATTCATTTAAGCAGCTACACAAATCCACCGACTATAGCTGATTGTGTAAAATCATATTCGCGGTTATATCAACATACAATCGTTCAAAATTTTGAAAATATAAACAACACCATGATTGAAAAACTCAAGTCAGGTGGTTTAAAAAATAAGGGGAAAAAAAAAGATAAAGATAAAACTATATATACAACCCAAAAAAATACTAAATAACATAAATCCCACGGATGTTGACTAGTTGTCACAAGGTTTCACTGAGCATTTGGTGGGAAAAAGTATATATGTTGCTATTTCTACTATATGTTAAAGAACAGAGACAAAGAGAAGCTGAGAGCAACAAGAGTAGAAATAGAACACTATTTTAGATTGGTCAAAAAAATTTTGTATTATAGAAAGTGTTGGAAGGCCACAAACCATATACGCTCACAAGGATAAAAGAGAGGTAAGAGACAAAAATGAAAAGGGTATGTGTGTGGAAGACGATGAGGAGAAAAAATGTGAAAAAAAAATCAAGGAAAAAAGGCAAAAGTAGGTTAGAATAAAAGAGAATAAAGATATTTAATAGCTCTCAACAAAGAAAAAGAATGAAGAAATACGATGCATATATTCACATGCCATTATTGCCTAACAAATTTTCTTAATTGGACCCAAATCCTATAGTAAAGCCAATAAAAGTCCTAAATGCAACAAAATGCATCATCATTCCATAAAAGATTCCTAATAATACTAATCACTTCACTTCACATGCATCTAACAAGTAGAACGCAATAATTCCCTCTTGTTCGAGAAAACATGAACTTAAGTTCCATTCAATATCCAAAAAAAAAAAAGAGTAGAACCATATAAATCTTCGCCTTTTACTAAAGTTAAAAAAAAAAATTCTAAATCCTCGTCTTGTATCTTTGCTTTTATTTTAAACTAAGGGTAAATTACAAACACACCCTCTGAGGTTTATTTAAATTACAAATTACCCCCTGTGGTTTTAGAAATTACATTATGCCCCATAAGGTTTCTCATTTCATAACAAATAGGTCCTTTTATTAATAAATCATCAAGATAATTAACTGTTTTTTATAATATTAAAATTTTATTTCAATTAATAATTCAGATAATTTTATTATTGTATAAGTGAACCGTTAGGAATTTCACTTTTTCAATTAATTCTGTTTAATGAAGAACTCTAACAATGAGGTATTTGTAATTTTCCAAACCACAAGGGGCAATTCATATTTTAAGCAAATCTCAGGGTGTATTTGTAATTTACCCTTAAACTAATGCAACTTGGCCGATCAAAAAAACTTAATGCAACTTGGTCTTCATGATAATTTATCAAACATCTCCGGGCAACTATAACATGCAAACTTTATGCTAGAGAGAGAGAGAGAGAAAGAGAGATAACGAATTGACGATAATGGACAGAGAAGAAGATCAGGGCAAAAGAACAGGAGGTGGAAAGTGGGAAGAATGAGGAGCTATAAAGCACGGACACCTCTTCAAGGGCTACGTATTAGTGTCGGACACATGCCGGGCGTAGACACGCGTCGGACATGCGGTGGACATGTGTCCAACACGTCGCAGAAGGTGTCCTTTTTTTTTTGGCAACCAGACACATTATGGACACCTTTCGAACACTGCGAGGTCAAAAACAAAATTTCTGAAACTTCAAGTATGCTTTTGTAAAAATCAATCAAACCAAACCCTAACCTTGATTTCAAATAGAAAGAGGAGAAGAGGCTTTCTTCATTTTCTTCTTCTTTCGATCATCTTCTTCTTCTTTTCAATCCGTCTCGCTCGAGCTGATCTGTCTTTCTTCTTTTTTCAATCTTGTTCCTCGTTCGACTTCTCTCAATCGCTTTCTCTCTCTCTTAGTCGCCTTTTCTCTCTGTTTCTCTCAGTCGCTCTCTCACTCTCTCTCTCTTTCTTTCTTAGTCGCTCTTTCTCCCTATCTCTCTCTCTCTCTCTCTCTCTCTCTCTCTCTCTCACTGTCTCTCTTTTTGTTTTTTCTTTTTCTTTTTTATGCTAATATTCACTCTCTCTCTTTGTTTTTTGTTTATATTGTTCTTTTTTCATATTCTCATTTTTTTTGGCTTTTTTCAGCCTTTAAACTTTATCTCTATTATTTATTTATATTTTTTTAGCTAATTGGCTTATTTATTTATTTATTTATTTTCTCTACCTTCAATAAAAAAAATTTATAATTTTATGACATAACAAATAAATTCAATTATATATTCAACATGTCCCTAGCATGTCGTGCAATGTTATTAAAGGCGATAGGCATACTAAGTCACCAAGGTCTCCTGGGGCCTAGGCTTAAGGCACAAGGCGAGGCGCAGGCTTCACCGAAGTGAGGTGCACCTTGTATAGAAAAAAAATTATAATGTTAAATAAGTAAATAATTTAGGGTTCAACATAAACAAATTGAAATGTTAAACATTTAGTGTTTTTTTGAGATTTTGAATTAAGGCTAATTTTTCTTTTATCATTAATTTGGGGTTGAATGCCCAATGTATTGGCATCTGTAATTAGAGTAGAGATCTTCTACAGTTGCACCATATAAAATCAATGGTCAAATTTTAAACAAAGCCAATTAAAGTAACAATAAAAAAATCCCTCAAGACAGAAGCCTTGGGCCAGTCAGGCACCCTACCAACATCGCCTGGCTTGTAACACTACAAGGCGCAAACCTTGGGCCTGGATGGGACTTGGGCCTAGGCTCATGCCTAGCCGCGCTTTATCGAAGTCGCCTGGCCTGGAACACTACAAGGTGGAAACATTGGGCCTGGATGGGACTTGGGCTTACGCACTCCTTTAACAACACTGGTGTTGTGTCCCACATTTTTTGACAATTTGCGTGTCCGTGTCGTGTCACGTGGTAGTGTTTGGATATGGTTAATATTTCTGGGGGGAGGAACTTAGTTGTGTACAGGAAGTGGGTTGGTTGTCACATTTGGTTTAGAAGAGGCGATGACTTTGTTGTCAATGAGATTTTGGATCTCATGACATAGACGAACGCATGAGTCTGTAGGATGGCCATGTTGTTGGTGGAAAGAACAATATTGAGTTGGGTTGTGTCTAACTGGCAGTGGGTTTGGGAGAGGTCGTGGATCGAGAGACTTGAGATGCCCCCTTTCCAATAACATCTTGAGGGCGCGGGTCAGATTCATATGGAGAGGGGTAAACGTTCTTTGGAACCAAGGTTGACCATTTTGTGCGGTTTGTGAGTTTGTAGCAGCAGCAAAGGGATCGGCCATCTTAGCTGATGATGTAGCCAAGGTACTAACATCTGCAGATCGTGGAATAGTATCGGTACCAACATTTGTACTCCGAGTGAATGGCCTTTTTGTGGGTTCACTAGTTCTATGGATAATCCCCTTCTTGAATGCACTTTCAATTTGGACCCCCAACTCGTATAGTGAAGCAATTGTAGATAACGAAGTCACTATCATCCTTTGTAGCATATCAGGCTCGAGATTGTGGACCACTAGCCTGGCTTGCTTCTTTCAGAGGGTCTGTTTGTCATCCGGGCTGCTTTTGCTCTCCATCTAGCGACAAAGTCAATAAAAGTTTCTTTGGGGTTCTGGGTAGTTACCTCTAACTCACTGATGGTTACCTCAATCTGAGTGTTATATGAATACTGGTTAACAAACCCCTTAGACAGTTCTTCCCAGTTCTGCTTCGTAGAATCCTCTAGTTTTGCATACCAGATGGCCGCTACATTAGATAGAGTTCTCCCAAACAAAGATAGTTTCTGAGCATGAGAAAAGCCCATTGGCTTCAGAACATCTGAAAACAGGCGGACATGTACAATTGAATCCCCACTTCCATTGAATCTGTCGATGTTAGGCATTTTAAACTTCTCTAGTAGTCTGACTGAACCCTCAATGTACCCATCTTCAATCTCTGGAATGGAATTGAAGCCTTGGGATTTTTTTAGCGCTTTGTCTAGCTTGGCAATTTTTATCATGGCTACATCATCGTTGATGTCAAAGGGAGGGAGTTCCCCCTGTGGTTGTGCCAAGGGCCTATAAGTTGGAGCCTATGGAAACACCTCTTGGGGATTTGGGATCTGGGGATTTTCCACTGGTGGAGGAAGATCGGGATTTGGCTGAGCAGTAGGAATTGGATCTATTGTAGATGCAGATGCCCCAGATAGGCATCGCAGATCAGCAATGACCTCATCATGTGCGGCCATCCGTTGATTTACAATATCTATGGTTCTTTGAATAGCTGCCATCATGGCAGCAAGTTCTTATACATTCTATGCCATCCTTATTCTAGGTGGGTGAGATGGTGGTGAATTATGTGCACAAACAGGTATCGGTGGAGTGCTCTGTACCGATGTTGATACCTGTTTGTTCCTTTTACGTCGAGTAACTGGCGGGAGAGAAACTAACATTGGCTGATCGTTAACAAGATCTTGAGTTTTACACAGTCTGCAGGAACGAGTCCATACAACTTGAGGAATATCGGTCTTTCGAAAGCTATGATGAAAAACTACCTAGCAAAAGCAAGAAGAGAAAAAAAACAAATCAAAAATCGGACAACACTTCGGCCCCAATTTTCAACACGCAACTGAACTGTGAGCCCTACTGAACTTTGTTCTCAAACTGACTGCTCATTTGTAACACTAATATGAACCACCCTGTGCAGTTTCACTATAAAAGCACATACCATGTAAAAGAATGAAAACACCCCTATAAGGTGGTGGGGTTATCCTGTCCTAGATTTTGACATGATCTAGGTTGCACTATTTCAGGCAAATGGTTTCATAACATCCTATAGAGGTGGCATCCTGTCCTAATTTGGAATAGTCACTAGAGCGTACTATATGCATTAGGTCAAATAGTCACAGAGGGTACCTCAATAAGATTACCTAATATACCTCTCACACCGAACACGAGAAGTGAAAGGAGGATCAAACAGTACGACAGTAATCCAGATCCAAGGGTTGTGTTCCCAACATGGCAGTGCCCATGACCGGTCAGCCTTTTGGCAAGCTTTGTAGGCAAGCCTCTAGCAAACCGTCAAGGAATAACATATGGAAAACACAAGGACTTAAGCGCATTGATGAAAATGCAACGCAAAGAACATATAAATGTAGATAAAAATTCACATCATAAATTTCAAGTCAAGTTTTCTAATTCCCCAGTAGAGTCGCCAAAAACTGTAGCTCAGCATTTCGCACCCCCTTTTGGAAGAATGAAATAACCCGTACAGTTCGGACTCCACTTGTGTTGGTTCTGAATCTGATTTCATAAGTGCAATGTGAAATAGTGGAAACACAAAAAGAGTCCAAATCTGGCAATTATTTTTGGAAAATCGATGTTTGAATCAAATGCCAAAAATGGACTGCTTTGCTAGATTTCAGAGTTGCCACCTAAATATTTATTTTGGGAAATTTAGGAAACCCGTGACTTGTGCCAAAGGCCATTAGTTCGTCGTTACCAAAGTGTCTTGGTTCGGGAACTTAGGTATAAGAGGGGAAGGTCAATAATAAGCACCCCACTCACCCGATCAAAGATCGGCCTCTACTAATCATGATGTAATTCTTATGTATAGTATATGTTCTTATTTTATCTTTAGCATACAAGTATAGACTAATTTCACTAAAAGTTGGAACATTTGATTTCATGTTTGTTTTGAAAAATAAGTGTTTTGCATATGTATCACTTGAAAAAGTGATCTCATATATATACATTAATCAAAGTATCCCAATGTCAGTGAATAGCCTTCATCCACAGGCATTCAAGCAGTTTAACAATTAAGCATTTAGCCTCATGGTAGTATGTTTGATACGTCAACAATCACACTTAGGCAATATGCAATAAAAACTAGTTAGAAAAATGCAAGATCCTAACTATGTAACATGGCTAATGCAACACATACAATATGCAATTAATAAGCTCGGCTACTAGCATGGCATGTGAGTCAATTCAAGGCATGTGATAGTGCACGTATTCAAGTAAAGAGTTTGAATTTGACATTTGAATAATATGATGAGCCAAACTTTTATGCATGCAATACAAGTGGGTGCAAACATGAGTATGCTATATCAAACATGATGTCCTTAAACTAACCATCATAAGTTGATAAATAAAAGGGAGAAAGAATGGGGGTTGGAAGACATACAACTTATTACATATTTGTCCTCGCGAAGGAGGGTCCGAATGTCCAAGCGTCCGAATAATTAATTATTACAAATCCGAATGAATAATAATGAAAAGAGGCTGTCTAACTTATTACAACAAATAATATGTAATGATTGCGTAATGCTCCTCAAGAATTACTCTATTTGCTTTGTTGAGACTTGTTCTGTTTCACCTTATCATTGCTTTCGACCAAAAGTGTATTGTTTGCAATTTATTAGAGCCTTGCTGACCCAAAACAAGACTTAGTCGAGCCCTAAATAAATCCAAGCATACCTTGTTTTCTTTGCGGAAATCTATTTTTTGTTCCTGAGGTGAAATAGTGCAAACATGCAGACAGGGTATTTCTAGCCATGTTTGTCTCTTCTACTCTTCTCTATCATGGAAAATACTCAAGAGAGGAGCGAACTCGGTTCCCAAACCATCTATGGTTGCAAGTTAATTCGCAAGATGATTTTGGACACGATACGACAAAGATCAATAAATACAATGCATAACAACCACCCCTCCCTCCTATCATGAAGCAAATTCAAGAAGGGAAGTAGAGTCGCTTCAAGTTTCATCAAAACATTATGGACTAATGTAAGACAAGCCTTGACACAATAAACTCGGTATAACGTCCAACCGAATTCAATCAATCATCTTGGTTCTTTATGTTGGTTGATTCATTTTAAGCTCAATTTTATTAGCCTCTTTTATATTACCTTTCATTTTCTTTAATCCATTAAGTCCACGGTGATATTTACATCCACTAAGTCCGAAATACAATAAAGGAAAATAAGTATCGACTTAACCTGAGGAAATAAACCTTATTTTCTTCGAAGGAAATTACAAAGGAAGATTAAAACTTTTTTACAAGTTAAGGATTTCAAGTCAAACCCAAGATACGAAACAAGAACTAGTCAAACTCAAAAGAGTGATAATGACTTAGAAAAACCCAAAGTGAGCATTAATGGCTTGAAATCCAAACTTGATAATAAGTGATAACGACATTTTCCTTTGTGATTTCCAAGGGTCAATTAATCCCTTAAAAGTAAACACACTGATGATAAGTTCTTCGGGGGAAATTGCATAGGAAGAGTCAAACTAATTTACAAGTGATAAGGGATTTCAAGTCAAACTCAAGATGCGCAACAAGGACTAGTCAAACTCAAAAGAGTGATAATGACTTAGATAAACCCACAGTGAGCGATGATGACTTGAAATCCACACTTGATAATAAGTGATAATGACACTTTCTTTGGTGATTTTCAAGGGTCAATTAATCCTTTGAAAGTAGACACACTGGTGATAAAAAGAACTGAAAAATAAATGATTGCACTTTAGTATAAGAAAGTTTTTATGCCTTTGGTAGTGAACCTCCGAAGAGATTAAACCACTAAGCATGAGAAAGTTTTACGCCTTTGGAAGTGAACCTCTTAAGAGATTAAACCATTAAGCATGAGAAAAGTTTCTTTCTTATACTTGAACCACAATCTTAGTTTTTCACAACTTTTTAATCAAAATAATCGAAGAATGGAGGGAGGTTGCAGAGGTGATTATGCAAAGTTGATTAATTGGTTAATATAACACAAACATAATATGTAAAACAAACTTATTGAAATAAATTAAACAACCCCCAAATAACATATAATAGTGCTAAAATTTAAACTATAGAAGGTGCACAATCATAGAGAGATTAAAGCTAGTACAAGTATGAGGAAGGGTGGCTAACCCCCCCCCCCAACTTTTGCAACTTCAAATCACATAGTTTAGATGTTGGAAAACAGCCCCAAAACAATCCCAAATCAGCCCCAAAACAGTGGCAAAAGTTGACAAAAACAAATGGGAAACACATGGATTTAAGCTAGGAGTAAGGTTCAAGCAAGGGGGATTAACCCTTCCACCTTTGGGTAGCTTTGAATCACAAGTTTCAACCCTCAAAACAGTCCAAAAATAATATGAAAACACAAGAAAAAGATAAACAAAGATTGAAATAAAAACAAGAAAGCTTTACCTCTTGTAGACAAGGTGTTCTTGTTGTAAATCAAACTTGATTCCAAAGCACCCTCAAGTTTGAGTATGATTTTCAATTCTCATATCAAGTTCAAGTTCAAGCTCTTGTATGGTATGTATGGATGATATGAGAGCTTTCAAGGCTTGTGGAAGAACAAGAAGGATGATAACTTTGATCTTTTCTACCTCTTGATATTTCTAACTCACTCTCGATATTTTTAACTCACTTGATATTGATTTGATCTCTTTAACCAAATTCTATATATGTTTTTCAACCTCTACATAGCAGTCTGAACCCTGCTATTTATAGGCCCCGAGTAGAGTTGATCAAAATATCTGCAGAATTGGGCAGTTGGCAGAACACTGTTGAATCTGTCTAAAAAGTCAAGATGTTCAGCCGGATATTAGTATCTCCAGCCAGATATAATTTAGGTTCGGCCGGACTTCAATGTATTTCCACTATCTCTTACTTTCAGGTTCAATACAAGTTGATACAGAGTGCAATACTGAAATTCCGATGTAGAAATGCAGTGGGTATGGCAAGTTGGACTTGTTTAGAGCTCGTACTCAGATTCTTTTATTGAGAATTTAAACCACTGACTCAATGTAATCGTCATCATCGAGTGCTTGGAATCAAGCGCCTAAGTCTTGCGAGCGGTCAAAATTGGGGTGTCTACACCCCCTCGCTTGATCAAAGATCTGCCTCTACTAATCATGATGTAATTCTTATTTACATTATATGCTCTTATTCTGATTATTAGCTATTTTTACTATGTGATGCACACAAGTATAGACTAATTTTTGCAAGAATTGGAACATTGGATTTCATGTTTTATTTTTGAAAAGAGTTTGTGAATGTGCCACTTGAAAAGGTGGGCTCAAATGTACATGAATCAAGCTATCCCAATTCAAACAATTAGCCTTCATCCACAGGCATTCAAACAGTTTATCACTTAAGCACTTAGCCTCATGGTGAGCATGCTAAATATGGCAACACTAACACAGAATGCAATATGCTAAAACAAATAAAAGCTCACCTAGTACTCCAAGCCAAAAAAAAAAGATAAAAGAGTTAGAAAAATGCATGATCCAA